AAATCACTATCCGAGTGATACATTTTTTGAAATAAAAATATTTTACTCGGCGCTGATATGGTTTCGTCCTGTTTCATTAAATCTATTTTGCAAGCGTCACAATTTATTTTAGGAAGTGTCTTTAAGGCCACATACCCTATAAAATATCTTTCAGAAACAAGTTGTAAAATAAAACAAGAAAGGAAAGCTAACTTCGGGCGGAGCCGAAGTTTATATACCCTTGCAGTTAAAACCGGATATATATCGCAAACATCGGATATAGTTGGCCGATCCTTATGGGAATAGGAATATATACTCCAATTTATTACAATACAAAATCTAAAAAAGTCCCAAGCTTCTATCTTCAAAAATACGAAAGTTGATATTTCTATTAAATACCATTTCCGATCGTTCAGTTATATGGCAGCTATAGGATATAGTCGGCCGATCCTAATGAAATTTGGTAGGTTGGATCAACTGACCAAAAATAGAGTCTGTACTAAATTCCAGCTTTCTATCTTCAAAAACACGAAAGTTGGGTCATTTCCGATCGTTCAGTTATATGACAGCTATAGGATATAGTCGGCCGATCCTAATGAAATTTGGCATGTCGTATTATTTTGCCAAAAATAGCTCTCACCTAAAATTTAAACTCTCTAACTCTAAAAATATCAAAGTTATACCATTTCCGATCAATCAGTTATATGGCAGCTATAGGATATAGTCGGCCGATCCGGGCCGTTCTGACTTATATACTGCGTGCAAAGGAAAGAAGGGTGTGTGCAAAGTTTCAAGACGATAGCTTTAAAACTGAGAGACTAGTTTGCGTAGAAACAGACAGACGGACAGACAGACAGACGGACAGACGGACAGACGGACATGCTCATATCAACTCAGGAGGTGATCCTGATCAAGAATATATATACTTTATAGGGTCGGAGATGTCTCCTTCACTGCGTTGCACACTTTTGGACAAAATTATAATACCCTCTGCAAGGGTATAACAAGAAAGGAAAGCTAACTTCGGGCGGAGCCGAAGTTTATTTACCCTTGCAGTTAAAACCGGATATATATCGCAAACATTGGATATAGTTGGCAGATCCTTATGATTACATCATAATAAAACCTATTTACTGAAATACAAAATCTAAAATAAGTCCCAAACTTCTATCTTCAAAAATACGAAAGTTGATATTTCTACCAAGTACCATTTCCGATCGTTCAGTTATATGGCAGCTATAGTCGATATAGTCGACCGATCCTAATGAAATTTGGTAGGTCGGATCAACTGGCCAATAATAGAATCTGTATTAAGTTTCAGCTTTCTATCTTCAAAAACACGAAAGTTAGGTCATTTCCGATCGTTCAGTTATATGGCAGCTATAAGATATAGTCGGCCGATCCTTATGAAATTTGGCATGTCACAATAATTTGCCAAAAATAGCTCTCATGTCTCTAAAAACACCAAAGTTATACCATTTCCGATCAATCAGTTATATGGCAGCTATAGGATATAGTCGGCCGATCCGGGCCGTTCCGATTTATATACTGCGTGCAAAGGAAAGAAGGGTGTGTGCAAAGTTTCAAGACGATAGCTTTAAAACTGAGAGACTAGTTTGCGTAGAAACAGACAGACGGACAGACAGACAGACGGACAGACGGACAGACGGACATGCTCATATCAACTCAGGAGGTGATCCTGATCAAGAATATATATACTTTATAGGGTCGGAGATGTCTCCTTCACTGCGTTGCACACTTTTGGACAAAATTATAATACCCTCTGCAAGGGTATAATGAACAGATCAAAAATAGTCATTATCTATGTCATGAATGGTATCTGTGTTGCAACTGTGTATGATGTCTTCGTCAAGTAATTGTGCTACGTCTAGAGAATTTTCTTCGGGGATCATTGAAATAATTGGTCGCTCAAGAGGCTCGTCAATTTCACAATTGGCAGATGAATTATATTTAATAACTTTAAAAGAAATTATTCTTGTCATGGTCGAATTTATTTCAGCTTTGCTCCCTTTCTGTCTTAGCACAGCGAAAGTGTTTTCTAGGCAGTCTTGGTTAAAGAATTTAGTCATAATGATAGCATAAGATAGCATAGCAATAGCATTTGAAATCACCCAATACCAACAAAGGGAAGAACTTTTTTTTCTCATTTACGAAATGAATATCCTTTATATAATTTTGAAAATATTTTATAAGTTCTAATGACTTGCTATTTATTTGCAAGGTTGATCTATATTTATTTTGTCCATATAAGGTTCCACTATTCATGCAGTCAAAAATTGTATCCACCTTTTCTATAAATACTGCCGTAGATATGGATATGGACACTGAATTAAATTTGACGGTATCAAAAATTGTTTTAATGGCCGCCTGAACTATTTTACAAAGTAACTCTGCCGCATATTTCACACGCATTTTTTCAAAAGTTTTTGGATATATATGCTTCCTTGTCAATTTTGGGCACATTTTCGTTTTTGGTCTTCCTCCATCTGCCAAAACTCCTTCAAGACCTGATATCTAACCTCCCCATCCGGTGTACTTAAGTCGCAGGTCTGGAGTCCATTTCTAAATGATTTGATGTGGGAAATCGTACATACAAAAATTCGTTTTTTGAAATGAAAAAAAGGGTTTTCTTTAGTTGCTCCTAGCTGAAAATAGCAACTTCGGTTGGCTTGGTCACATATTATGGCCTTTACCTCTATCCCTAACAACCGAAGTCAGAACAACCGAAGTCGGCCGACTATATCCTTTAACTGTAATATAACTGATTGATCGGAAATGCTGTTAAGTTGTTTTTGAGTTAGAGAGTTTGAGTTTAGCATGAGTGCTATTTTTGGCCAAATAATACGACCCACCAAATTTCGTAAGGATCGGCCAACTATATGTTATAGCTGCCATAGCTGAACGATAAGAAATAATTTTTGGTATTTGGTAAAAATACCAACTTTTGTTTTTTTTTTCAAGATAGAAGTTTGGGACTTTTCTTAGGTTTTGTATTGTTATAAATTGGTTATATTTCATAATGATATTCTCATAATGATCGGTAAACTATATCCGATTTTTGCGATATATATCCGTGTTTACTTGCAAGGGTATATCCACTCCGGCTCCGACCGAAGTTAGCATTCCTTTCATGTTTTTTGTTTAATTTTTTAAAAGAATTGTTTGTAAAACCATGTTGTAGTTGTTTCATAGGAACTCATCGGTAAAGGGAGGAGCCCATCGGAGCCCATCGTTAAAGGGTTTTTATGTGGGGCATGTTCAAATTTAATTTGTTCCGCAGAAAAGAATATTTAGAATGCGACATACAGAAAATGTTTTGGGCCAACCAATGTACCTCTGGGGAGTACTCCTTGGCTCGTCTACTTAAAAGTAATTTGCAAAACGTTTTTGTTTCTGGACTAATATTCTGAATGGAGTCAATTCTGTCAATTATACCAGCTTTTGAAGTTTCCTTTTTTGAGCCGAATCGATGGATATTTTTATGATAATTTTTTTCGAAGATTTTAAATTTTTTTTAATAGGGTTTGATTTTTTTTTGGAAGAACTTGTTGGCTTTTTATATTTTTTCGCATTTACAACACTGGTCTTTTGTAATATATGCTTTGCCGATCGGCTCAAACGCCACATCTTCCACCGCCATATCCAAATTTAATGTTGGAATAGCTTCCTTTTTTAAGTACTTTTTCTAATGAAAGCCGCCGAAAAATGATTTTCACAAATTGTTAGATTCTTATTATAATCGTTTAAGATAATGCCACATTTTCCCCTTCATATTTGTCCTAAAATTAAATCCGAGGACGAATGTTTAAAAAACTTTAGATTAGAAAAATGACGCCTAGATTTCGTGCAGGATTTAACACAGCATTTCATTCCAGAAATTTATATATTTTTTTTTTTTCGCTCATCTTGTCGCATCTAATACCATAGACCATTACCAAAATGGTCGACCTGAAGCGATACATTTCTTTTTCGCAGAACATTTTTTAAAGTAAGAAGCTCTGCATTATTTGCCATACAAAATGGAGGCCCTTTTTTTAATTTCTATAATAAAATGTATTTCTTATTACATTGATTTTTTTAAGCCCCTTGTGAGTGTTACTATAATAGAAAGTTTTCTCTCCCGTATGCAGAGCTTGGGCACCAATGCCATAGGCCAATTGAAATTTTTTTTTGAGGAGCTTTCGTTAAATATCTTTTATTCAGTAATACCAGTTCCTTTTCCAAAAATCAAAATTTTCCAACTGTGTCTAATCAAGGATATGATTTATTTCCCAGATCCTTAATACTATTTTTAATATGCTTAGTATTTTCTTTATATCTTAGATACCCAGGTCATTTTCATTTAATTCAATTTGAAGAAAGAGCTGAAAGATAATTAGAAAAACACCAAAAGTCCTAAGGAGGATTCGAATCTCGAATTCGATTCGAAAATCGTACAGAGAGCAACTACTCCATGCATTGGGCTACCACCCTGACTTGGTCGGAAGCGAACAAAAGTACTATTTGTTTTACTACCACATCGACGCATTGTAAACAGAAACGATGAAAAACTGAAATTGAAATTTAGAAGCCAAACATTTTTACGTCGCCGTGCGAAGAGTCACACATATACACAAAGGCACACATTTTTTTTGACGGATACATGTAAAGAGTTCTAAAAGTGAAATCGTATGCATTTGCGTTCTCCCCTCACCAACAAGCTCAACGAAAAAAGTTGACCCTGGGGCCCTGATGTCCCATCTATGTACTTGCTATAATCTTTGCTCTATGCTACCTCCCTACCAATTTTCACTCAAATTTGTTCTGCCGTTCTTGAATTATAAGTGGTGTAACATAATACGACTTTCTTTTATATATGTATATATATACAATAGATAAAATATATAAATTTATGTTTTTAATTAGATTAGGCTTTTAGTTCAAATTTAAATAATATACACAACTTTAAAGATATGTATTTAAGCAATATATATTATTAAATAAATTTTATTTATGCTTACTTCATTTGGCTTATTGAGCAGACATAATCCATGACCAGTTCGCAAAGAATCGATATAATCCTTTTTACTGCATTCAGAAAATTTGTAAGGCTGCACATTCTCTTGGCCGACAATTGACTGAGCCATAATACAACCATGCCAATCACGGCAAAAGCATTCTTCGCCTGCAAAAAGGTTTCATTGTATTTAAAACTTCAATATAATAGTTTCTGTCCTTAAAAATTATATATTATTATATTATATATTATAATATATTTAACAATATAACAATATAATATTAAACCTGTTCCAAAGTAATATATTATATATCTGCTTTGTTTTATTTGTTTCCTTTTTAAAAGTTATTATTTAAGGGAAATACCTCTTTTGTAACACTGACCTACAATAAAATACCGAAAAAAATTTAATTTATTGAAATCTTGAAAACTTCTTAAGAATTTTAGGACTAAGGAATTGATTTCTTACCCAGACCTCATAAAAATGCGAAAGGGAGATACCTTTAAACCTTAGCCTTAGCTGGTTTATATTTATTTTGTCCAGATATTTATAATGCATTGAAGGAATCATATTCGATTCCATAAATGATATTTTTTGACAGGGAGACAAATAGATGCGCTTAAAGCATTTAGGCATGTTAGGAGACTGTGAAAGCTAATGATATTTGTTCTTATAAGATGAGATTTTGCACAGAGCCCTGAATTGCTTGTAGGCAGATTTTACAGATTGGACCTTTTTAGCATATAGTTGTCTTATAATATGTCAGTTGTCATATCATGTATAGTTGTCATATGTCATATAAGTAAATTACTTTCTGAACTTCCAGCGAATTTCCTTTCCCTATTCCAAATTTAACAAGGCTGCCATCAACTGTAATCTATTATTTGGCAACTGTAAAATTTTGAGCAAGCTACGTCAGTAGGGAGTAAATAGGCAATCGGCTGATTTCTTGCGTCATATCCGTGTATGCATGTATATGTTGGTGGGGACGTAAATCCACAATCCAATATACACTCACATATATAAATACTCCTAACAAAAAAACACATATTGACCTTTCATCCGACCCTGACATAAATACCCTTCTTGTCTCCCTTCTTGTCCCTTCTTCAGGGTCTCTTGTCTCCTGCAAGAAAGTGATAAAAAGGGATCGCAGCAGGTCAATTGGTTCCTATTTTTTTTTCTTGACCCTTCAGGGTGGATTTTCACTTTTCTACGAAAAGGTTTTCTTGTGATATACTTACTCCTTGTAAAATTCTGTATTATATTTTATATTATAAAATTAAATTTCTTTATATAAGTCAGAGTTAATTTAAAATTAATTAAAAAAGAATTGGAGTAAAAAATCCTTTTAAATAATACGCAACACCATAATAAAATTTTGGATATTTTTTTTTTAAATAATAATTTGTTCTTCATCATTAATTATAAATTAATTACAAAAGAATTGTAGTAAAATACACTTTTAAATGAACTGCAGCAACATGAATATAATTTTTGTAAATAAGCATTTATTTTGTTCATAAATTTTATTTATTTTTTCACGATCCTGAATCTTATTTATTTTTTCACGATCCTGAATCTTAGAAAGGTATCTTAAGTGGGCAGTTGAATTTGTAGGGAATTAGGCAAACGGCGTATAAGCGGCAGAAAAATTGTAGTAGTATGTAATTAGGCAAACGATGATCCTGGCAAGTTTCATTTTTACATGATCTTTTCTTTACATGCATATTTCCCTTAATGGGAACCAATGCAAGATATCAGAATATATAGAAAACATAGACGGCGATGATCCTGACAAGTTTCATTTTTACATGATCTTTTCTTTACATGCATATTTCTCTTAATCGAAACCAATGCAAGATATCAGAAAATGTAGAAAACATAGACGGCGATGATCCTGGCAAGCAGTGTTGCCGTCAGCATGTTACAGAAAAAGGCTAGATTGATTATAAAAAAAGGATAGAAAAGGACAAAATTTAAAAAAAACGGACAAAAAACAAGACAAAATATTTTTTCCATAAATTGTATGTAGTATAACTCTTTATTGGTGGCCAAATCGTTTAGAACATCGCCTTTCTTGCGTAGCCCAAACCTAAAAAAGAAAAAAACAATTTAAATAAATTTGTGAAACAAAAGAGTATTAAAATATTTATCTGATCGATAAAATCGCATTTAAATTTTCTATTTGCAGTTGGTTGCGCAATTTGGTTTTTACCAAATTAGCTTGGCTAATAACACGCTGAACTTCTGCATTTGCACGACACATCCACTGCACCAGATACGGTGGATTTAGCCATGAATCACGAAACTTTTGCTTGTAAATTTCTTTTGGCATCTTTCCCGCACAAATTTCACAATAAAAGTAACAATTGTATTAATCGATACATACGATTTACGATTACAACAGGGTTGAATTAATTATCAAGTGCTGCTATTGATATAAAAGTAATGTACATTTGGATTACTTTTCAGCACTTTACACAAAAATAAAAAGCAGATAAAAAGGCCAGGCCAAAATAAGAAAAGGACAGATAAAAGGCTAGGGGATGTTTTAAATTTTTTCCGGCTGACGCAGTTAAAAACCGGACAGATCTGTCCGAAAAAAGGATAAAACGGCAACACTGCTGGCAAGTTTAATTTTTGACATGATCGTTTGCTTTTATGCGCATGATCGTTTGCCAATAAAGGGCGTAACGTGTTAAATATTACGGTAGATGGCGCTGCCCAATTTTACACAAACTTGACCCATATATGGCGTCACTAAATTTACGTCGTCCGCCGTTTGCCTAATTACATACTAAAATTTTTCTGCCGCTTATACGCCGTTTGCCTAATTCCCTACAAATTCAACTGCCCACTTAAGATACCTGTCTAAGATTCAGGATCGTGAAAAAATAAATAAGATTCAGGATCGTGAAAAAATAAATAAAATTGATGAACAAAATAAATGCTTATTTACAAAAATTATATTCATGTTGCTGCAGTTCATTTAAAAGTATATTTTACTACTATTCTTTTGTAATTAATTTATAATTAATGATGAAGAACAAATAATTATTTAAAAAATAATTTCCAAAATTTTCTTATAATGTTGCATATCATTTAAAAGGATTTTTGACTCCAATTCTTTTTTAATTAATTTTAAATTAACTCGGACTTATATAAAGAAATTTAATTTTATAATATAAAATAAAACACAGAATTTTACAAGGAGTAAGTATATCACAAGAAAACCTTTTCATAGAAAAGTGAAAATCCACCCTGAAGGAACCAATTGACCTGCTGCGATCCCTTTTTATCACTTTCTTGTAGGAGACATATTTATGTCAGGGTCGGATGAAATGTCAATATGTATTTTTTATTTAGGAGTATTTATATATGTGAGTGTATATTGGATTGTGGATTTACTTTCCCACCAACATATACATGCATACACGGATATGACGCAAAAAATCAGCCGATTGTCTATTTACTCCCTACTTACGTCATGCAGTTGGTGTTTGATAGCAATTCAAAGCAGTCAACCTCGTAAATTTTTACGAAAATGGAAAAAAAGTTTTTTACTTAAGAAAAAATACTTTTTACGTTAAAAACCATCTCTAAAACCGGGGAAAATATTAATAAATATACAGGAACTCAGCACCATCAATTTTAATGGTAAAAAAGTGATTTACAAAGTTTCCTTGTGGTCGTACCAGTCGTAACGTACGTACTAGTGACACTGAACGTTCAGATCGCCTAAAAAGAGGTGATCACGCCGGAACGCCTTCAGAGTTCTTTCATTCGTTCGTACGAGTTCGCTTTCGTATACGTCTCGGGAACTTAAAAACCTTGGACCATTCGCTCAGCTTCCGTATGACTTCCTCGTGCCCACTTTGAGAACACGTCAACCACTGCTAGCATGTTTTTGTACAGCATCGCTGATGCATCCATCGGATCCAAATGATATATGTGCAGTGTTTGTAGCGGCGCGTCGCCCTTTTCAATGCAGTTTAACAGGCCTTCTTGTTTTCCCTCGCTCGCTTTCTTCCCGTCCTGAAATAACTCCTCGCTCCGTCAGCTTTGGCACCATCAGCAACTCGTTCCCGTCGACTTCTTTAAACAACCTTTCGGCTTCAAGTTTTCATGCGGCTGGATTTTAAGGATCTCCATGATTACTTGAATAGATTCGTTCTTCTGTTGGGCTTGCTTTAGACGAACCGACAATTCTGCCATTACACACATACAGTATTAAGGAAATCGACTTAACAATCCACATGGTTCATCGGGTTTCCAGCTTCAAACAAAATCTTGCATATACAGCAATCATGAACCGACTTCTCCGACAGGTCCTGCTTAACTGCTGTTAAGCAAATGCAGCACAATCAGTTACGAACTTTAATTTAATTCCCAGCAGATAATGACGAAACATTTTTAAGGCTAGATATGCAGCTTTAACTTCTAAATAAAAGCTGTGACGTCTCAACTCAGCTTCTGATGTCTTCTTGCTCCAATAGTAAATGCGGTGCGAGCTGCCTAGCTGCTGTGGTAACACCGCACAAAACCCATGTTTAGACGCGTCTGTATGTAGATCTTTTGGCGCTCCCCTCGAGTAAATATGCAAAGAAGGCTCATTCACTAGCTCTTGCTTACTAGCTCCATCAATTGTTCTTCAGTAGGACACATTATAAATGCGACACCCTTTTTTTCAGTATCCTGGTATAAATTTTCTGAAATTTTTTTTATATTATTTACATTTGATTGCCACGGGCGCTAAACTTTCCCGTAAGACCTAGGAAAGACTGAACTCCTTTGACTCCAAAACGACTAACTTCTGCTGTTTTTTCCACTCCCGGCCTGACACGGACAACTTCGATGATATCCCCCAAAAATGTGAAGATTATGTCGTGCAGACTTCTGGAGAACTATCTCAGTCTTTTTCAAACATTTTTCTGGCGTCTCGGCGTAAATAAGATTATCGTCCAATCACAACTGCTGTTAAGAGGAGCCCCAAATAATAGGTCTTATTCCAATGAATGAATAAATTTGATCAAATGAATAAATTTGATGTTGCTTTAACCTTTCCTTTGATTACAATTTTTAGTGGACTGTATATATATTATATTTCTATTTTTGTTCTTATATTTCGTTAATACATTTTTTTCTTTTAATAATTAGTGGAAGT